AATCGCTGCAGCTGTGGGTTTGTGGGTCCAGCAAACTGAAGATAGATAGGTGCTGTGAAGTTGGAACCAAAACAGCGATTTTCCCCTTCCTTTATGAAGACAACAGACTGAGGTTATAGCCCTCGAAGACGTTAATAATGACCAGACATCAACTGTTTGGAACTTGTGTCTTTTTTGCTTCCAAGTCGCATCTAATGAGCAGCAACGACTGTCCTACAGTGGATCAAACTGCTGTATGGTATCATTTAGTTCTTAATATCAGTGTGTCAGACACAAACTAATAAATAGGTGTACTTTTAACAGAAGACAAGTGATTAGTGCTGACTCCCATGTCTGAAGTTTGAAAAAGGGATCGGTCAGTGCTTGTCCTAGAAGCAATCACAAGCGTCATTCAATTCAAGACCGTCAGAACGAATGAACTTTGCTTGGTGTTTGATTTGAATGTTTCAAACAAGAGCGTTGTTGCCGAGCAGTGAAGTTGAATTGGGCTGGTACTTGACGGTGACTGTGTCCACGCCATGTCCAAATGGCTTCAGCAACTTCTCACCGCCATCATTCTACTTTCTGCCTCCCTGTGTGTACCTAACTGAGATTCTGAATTGTCGTGGAGTTGTGCAGCACTCACTTCAGTGCCCCTGGTTGAACGTTGCTAGCGCGTTTTCAAAAGCAATGAAAACCGCTTCGTTGAAATCCAACTCTATTTCGAAGCCGTATTTGCAAAATTTAGCAACCCCTAGTAGTTTAGTAGACGTGCACCACGGTGGAAACTACCCGGCCCTAATCTACATTGCCCTGGGGTAAGAATCTGCAATTTACGCTCCGCAGAATCGGTAGGTATTCAGAAGAAGTCGTGAATAAGGCACATCAAGCTGCTCAATTTAGAATCAAATATCGATTCAATTGAAAGGCGAAGAGGGGAATCGCAATTGGTCGGAATGATATCTGTCCAGCACTAGTTATTTAGTACTCGGACAAAGTCTGAGGGTGTTTTTAAAACTAGTGAGTCGCGGTAATGCCAACTAACTCCGATCTTTCCATTTCATTGTAAGCCGATTGTTTTGTCTTGTTCCACTTGAAGAATCCCTTCCGTCTCCGGCACAACGATCTGTAATTTCTTTTAGAGGATGAGAAAGTAGATGGAGTCAATAGGTCTAACTCTGTATTTCCCACAACGTATGCCTGATTTTGTCGGCAACCATGGTTTGGAGGAAGCCTATTCAAATCGCTGACTGGCAGGCCCTTGCTCGAACGTGTTCCACGGTTTCTAATCTCGAGGTTTGGGCAAAACACTCCAACATCTCCAAAGGACGCTCCTAGCAAACTCAAAAATCGCTGTCGCAGCATTTAAAAGAATTTCCAACATCCGATGACGCGTGTGCAACGCTTTTACAACTCGGCTAGGTTTAGGCTGATTTGAAGCCAACTTTCCCAGTGATGAATGTGTCACCTTCACTGACACTTCAATCAGTCTTCACGTTTGTCGCTTTCTGCTTTTTCGCGTTGATTCGCACACTCCTTCGCTGTCCACCTCTGACCGTTCGATCTTACAACAAACAGTAGTTTCAGATGGCGTAAAACAACCGCGAGCGCTTTTAAATGTTTGTGTGGACGGTAAGGCCTAATCTTCTTCATACTGATTCTTGAATTCCTTCGGAAACATTTGCGCATCCTTATTGGAAAATCTTAACAGGATCGTAATCTCAGGGACTTAAATTCTGTGGAAACCCAACTCACAGCTTTCAAGAGCGATGGCAATATCATCGAAATTCGATGTATAGACGATAAAGGCCGCATTTTATGCATTCCGGTGAATACCTACCTCAACTACAGTCATCAGCGAGTCAGCTAAGATGGCAGACTGTTGAAGCGCTTGACTACACAGCAGGTCACCAGGTGTTCACCATCGAAGGTGCTGTAACGCTTCTGGGACTCGTTAACTTCGCAGAGAAGCAGGCTAAGGGCTGTGCTACTTCGTCGACGGTCTGCCACAATCTTGCACCAGCTGTTCAAAGTAAAGCGTCGGTTAACGAGGACAGGGGAGTGTCTGGTAGTTGGAAAACCAGCGTATTTGCCTCTGCCGGAGCCACCTTTGTTGCTGTGACAGCCCCCTCTTCTACTCTTAATGTGATTGGTCAGACACAGAAGTATCTAGACTGTGTTAACTCAGTCAGTAGACCCAAGTTAAGACATAAAAAAGTGTGCAATTTTATTAATCACACAGACGTGAGTGAGATTTTGAAGTGGATTATCTATGAATCTGGCCATCCACTGGCAAATGTGCCAACCTTATCCTTCGTAGTGTTCGTGAAGTCCACATACCCCAAGACTGTCCGGTTTTCACCTTTTTCGTTTCAAACAATGAGTCAAGTTAAAATTGACAAAATTGAACCAGAAAATAGACCAAATTTTGAGAGTACTGTAACGCTAGTTTGCTGAACTATTAGAAAAGCAATTTGCCGATTGAATATTGTTATAAAAACATCACAAATCATGGCTTCTGGGGGCTTCGTTTGATTAGTGGAAGGAGGGGGGGGAAGGTGATTTTCCTCTCCAGAAAGTGGATCACCTACATCTGATTAGGTGGTCAGTTGATGTCGCAAAAAACGCTCCCAAGCACACCAAACTACCCACAGGTAAGCCGATTTCTCAAGATATGCGTATTATCAAGAAACGCTGTGAGCAAATTTAATTAGCTACACGCAGCTAAAACGACTAATACCATCTGGAAGTTGGTGCGTGAGAAAAATTTCGAACAGCGACATTTCGTAAAAAGAAAACTAACATCTACCCTTAGCGGCAGCCAATGAGTTCGAGTAAATGCTTTGTCCATAGCATGTCGACAAGGCGGCTGCCCTGTGAAGCTTCTGCTTTTTCCAACTGCGCGTCCATTTGCGAACGGTAAAGGGGCTTGGTTTCTTTTCGGCACAAGCAGTTGGGAAGTCGATTTGCGGTGAGGGGTCTTGATTGCCATCGCCATGAAACAAACCTACTGCAAGAACGACATACTACTCAAACGTTAGTAAGCAATCACACGTAGCACCTCATTCAAAACAGGTTTTTTAGTGTGGTGTAAGCCTACTCCAAACGAATTTGTACGTGTTATTTTTTTTTAATTTGGCCAAAGATGTAAGTTGGAGTGGTAGGTTTTCGAAACAATCGAGGAATGACGGCAGAAATCCAATCACAGAGAAAAACTTAACATGAGCAACTGTGGAATCACTTTATGTAGTCAAATAAACACGCGACCAGTATGCATGGACATAATTTAGGTTAAATGAAGAGGGTAACTCAAAAAATGCCTTACGGTGAAACCGATGCAAGCACAGCACACTTAAAGACGGTCTAAGTTAAAAGCGGACGAAGTGTGTTCGTTTGAACCGTTTAAAAGGACGAAAGCCGGAAGATTGATTACAGTAGCGTCTAATCGTGGGGGTCTATTCATGAGACGAAAATCAGCGGTGCCTTGTTCCCGGTGTAACTAGTGACAACCAGGGCAGTTTCGTAAAACAAATAATTTTCTCTGGACTGGAAGGCTGAAACAAAGGCGGACACGCTCTGGAGTGGAATTTTGTAAAGAAAAACTGTGAAATTACGAACTCCTTGTTCGGCTTACAGCAAACTACAAGACTAGGGAGAAAACTTGTCGTAAAAAGCACAGTGGGAGGCATTCGGAGAGAAGGTCATGTTCATTGGTGTGTGATGCCAAATTGTGATTATCCAGGATCGGGTGACTGCTTGGAAAATTAACAATTGAGAGCAATGCTCTAATCGGACTGAGTTCCATCAGCCCCAAATTATCCACTGTGGGGGTGGACATTTTTGGGCATTACAAGCGACCTTGACAAGGGTTTGGGTCAAACTATGGATGGCAGCGAAGTTGCGATCGATTGCAGACTATTAAATCCCCCTTGCCGAGTGTTATTCGCGTGTTGGCCACGAATTCATTGATTACAAAATCAATAATCGATTCGTGTGCACTGATTTTTGTTGGGTGATTAAAAAGAAGAGTGTATTGCCGAAATATGTGGTGCTTTTTGGAACAAAAGTGGTTCATGAAGGGTCTTGAAATTGCTTACGCGAGGTGATAACTAGAGCACAAGTGGTCATGATGGTTACCTGGTTCCAGCACCAATAAAATTAACCATCTGGCAACACTAGTGCCGGCTAGTGATTGAGGGATGGGTGTGCGTGTGGATGTGGTAGCAGGCGTTTCCATAAAACCGCCTCACTCCGAGTCACCGCTAAGCCTTCCCCAGTTCCCCTCTTGATCGCAAATCTCCAGAGGGGGCGAACAGGGCAAAGAAAGACCCCAGTGTCAGACGCGTGGTCAGTTATTGGTGCAGAAATGGGCTCCCACCAAAGCGCTATCCCACGACTACAGCGAAAACAATAATCAGCCGAGGATGAAATAACAGCGGCGCTGTCATAACAACAGTTGCCCCAATTGTTCTGAGGCACCGAATTATTCCAATAAATACCTCCCACAAGGTGTAAACTCCACCTGGTTTACTAAACCTCGGATAATCACACCAAGGTTAAACAGACCACAGATACATAGACTTTTAACACCCACTCCTCGTGGTTTGATTGGTCCAATTCACTTCAGAAAACACGTGTTTCTTTGTGATCGACTGTCGTTTAATTTAAACTGGGTAATCGAAAATCAAACTGATCGCCCAGCTAACGCGATAGACAAGTAAAACAACTGTTGCGATTGTTTGATCTCTCTTCAGCCCTCACGTTGTGATTTGAACGTTGGTTTTCTTCGTTTGAGCTGGTGCCTTGGCGCACAAAAATCACCAATTACATTAAATTTCGCACAAATAAAAGGCTAATACGTTTCAGTAGTAGTTTTATTACAAACAACGCAGTGTCGGGTGTGTCTTGTGCGCGTGTGTTTGGGTTTACACAATGGGGACGCTGGGGAGAAATTGCAGTAGAAAAAGCAAATCACAGCGAAAGATTTTGGTGGGTGGGCGGGCGCGGCGCGGAGACCAGGATCACTGCAGCATTGCCTGAAGAAGGAGTTCCACAGATGGGATCAGAGGTGTCAAACTTTTGGTCTCCTGGCAGTAGGCCTTCAAGTTTGTCAGTCGATGCACAAAGCCTTCGGATTTGAGCAGGACGCGAAACTACACAGAAGAGAGAGAGGGAGTGCTTAGAGGGGAATTGCTTGGGACTTTGTGTGGCAACCACCGCCAGAACACTTCATGACAGATGCCGTCAGTTGATCCCAAGACCATAACCCTCCTGGTTTCCAAAGTATCTGCTAAAATCCAACTTTGGACAGTGCTCAGCCACACGCACAACTGTGTCCTCAACTCATCAAGGAGCCTACGACGTGCTGATTGCTCGGACCTTAAATCAGGACTACAGTCAAGCGCACACACACACGCACACATCCCTTCATCGCCGAGACGAAACAGTAAAAAACACAGCACTTATGCAATAAAATGCCCTCCTTCGCGCAACAGGCCATTAAGCGTGGGTTTGTGCACTAAAGACACTAAAAGTGGGGTGGAAAATTGGCGAGAATCACACCTTGCTGCAGTTGTAGGCGGCGTTGGACACAGCCGTCAGCGCTTGCACGTAGAGTTCGGGGGAGTCGGAGGGTTTGGGGTCGAGGGCACTCGCCAAGATGCCAACCACTCCGGTGCCTACAAAGGAGACGCTGTTGTCTCACCAAGTCATCGACAGCTCCAAGAGCAGCAGCTTACGTGGGGATAACTCACTTTTTTTGTAGAGATGCGTTTTAAAGAGGGGATTTCCGCAGAGATTCTGCAGGCAGGTAAACGCCAGGTGCTGATTCTCGCCCTTGCAGAACTTCACGTGGTCTACGACCACGTCGACGACACCTGAGTGGAGAAGGAGGGATAGAGCGTTTCATTAACAATCGCGCCCGTCTGCTGTTATACTTTGCACCTAACCACAACCACTCACTCGGGTAACCGGTACGTCAGATGCCTTGTCTAACGCTAAACCCCACATTCCTACGCTCATGCAAGACACGACCGCGTGCAGTGCCCTAGGCCGATTGATCTCTCACTTAAGTTGCGTAGTTATGGGATTTGTGTGAACAATGATGAAATGTTAACACACAATGAGCCGTCTTGGGGAATGCTGGATCCCCGATATCCGCTGACTGGTGCAGGTCATGATTGAAAAACGTAGTGGTGTGGGTTGGCCACGTGGGTGTTAGGCCTAGGGACGCTGTCATCGATTCTTGAAGTAACGCCTTGCCCAAGGATCAGACATGTTGTGAATCGTGTTTATTTAGCCCCTTAATTCGGTCGCTCCACCTCCGACACAGGATTCCTCTTTTCGCAGCATATCGCCAGCCGCGCAGATCCTCAACTCCCCCTCATTAGCACGAACATTAATTCTGGATTATCCTCACACCTATGTCTCGATGTTAGCGCATATATGACTAACATCTGAGGTATAAATGCACACGCGTAAACCCCAAACACGACACCAACGTGATTGAGCTCTAAAGTAAACGGTTGTGTCCACGTTCTCTACCCGGCTTTTTCTTCATCGCGGGTATTAGGCAAGCGTAATCGGGCCAGGGTTAATTCCGTGGCCCCGGTGTGGTTCAAGACCACATGCTGGGGACCACAACATACACATTTACACAGGAACTTGAAGTGAACGATAGCGACAAGGCCGATATTGCCACTTAACATGCGCAATTGCTAGTGGCTATAACTCATGTGCGTGAACTGTTTAGGCGGCATCAGACAAGCAGTGCGCGAGTGGTTGTCCATTAACCAATCAAAGTGACACACTGACAGGGTGGGGGTCGGGTAGGTGGAGGTCTGGCTGGGAAATACAACGAACAGGTTGAAATCCTCGCGTCTTTGAACTAAAATCGATTCCCAACACCTTCCTAAATGGTCCGTAAGAGGTAATTCCGTGGGCGTCAATCCGAGGTCAAGCCAAATCCACTCAAAAAGAAACAATTTCCGCTTAAAGGTCAGCTGCCCTGGTAATAATGGAAGGTTACTTCTACAGAGTAAGCAGCTTGTCTTCCACGAGTGTCGCAGTGACAAGTGTCAAAGGTCATATGTCAGCATAAATAACGACATTTAAGTCAGCTAATTACTCCATTGCCCAAGTCGGGTTTAGCATCCTGGTGTGGTTCTACAAGTCGAGAAACAGGTATTTGCACACTTGAAAATCGAAGCTGAGTGGTCTCAAGTGGCCTCACCCCGGCGGGGTCAGGTCAAATCCACTAGAAGTGGACCAATCGTAGACAGTATATCAGGTGACTGTGTTGCGGATTACCAGCGTTCGCGCCTGAGTGAACCCTGGTTACTGATCTGACGGTGACATTGACTCATCCCCTTTGCATTGGTTACTGTTATCAGATGCCCATCATCAGCTCACTCATTCGCACACTAAGACACACACTGGGCTGGCGTGACGCTAATAAACGGTCGTGTTCTCTGTCGCCTCTCTTAACTCCATTCTCGGATTATTATGGGCTGTCAACTAGACGGTTGTAAAGTAGTGCTTGGGCCACACAAGCCACTACATTTGGTGACCCCGACGATGACAGGCATTTGGCAACAGTAACCAATGGGAAGGAGATGAGTCATTGTCACCGTCAGGTCAGTAAATGGGGTTCACTTGGGCGCGATCGCTGTTGAAGGCCAGTACTATACAACCGCCGACTTGTCTTCCACTGTCAACCGTGGTATTACATGACAGTCTTTGTTTAAATAAAACCAGCGAATACACCACCGGAGAGGCTGTGTGAACGTGTTTGGACTCAAAAGAAAGCGAACTAATGAACTCGAGCCATAATGCGCTTGGGAACCGATAATCACGAATTCTAGGCACCCACAATTTATGCAAATCAGCCCCACATAATCCCATTTCTCAGGTTACAGCAATTGACACACACGCGCACAAAGGACCAATCAAAAAAGGAGGATACCGGTTGTTGCCAGCAGTAGACTCTGTCCCTCGTGGGTGAATGTTAAATTAGTGATGAAACGCAGCCAGAGGCGTTGCAAGTGGTGTCCTCTGGGGGTCTTGGCGAGGGACTGCGCGTCGAGATTCGCAAAGGGCGCGAGCAGCTTCACCTGAATTATGCAGACAAACAAACAAACACAGCGCGAGCATTAGAGATGAAAAGGAGCCATGCTGCGAACACGCGTGCCGAAGTGCTCGCATTACTTTAATCTTTTGTTAGGAAAATTCAGTGCTGATCGACTGCTCTCGTTGTTTTAATGTGCTGGTTCACTTTCTAGGCGCTAATTTTGACTTTAACTACCGATCGATCGGGCTCCGCACTTGTTGCTGATTGACGTTTGTGACTCAAGACAACGGGTTTTTCAGAGGTGCATTTTGGTTTTGAAGTAAACAATAAATTAAAACGCTGCTAGTCAAATTCGGATTAATTAATTTGCCGTGACAACCGAAGGGACGTGGATACCAAATTGATTGTGCACGATGGAAGAGAAAGCCGCTAGTAGTACCTTGCAGAACGAGTTCAGAGTTTCGGCAGACCAGGCGAGGTTTGCGAGGAGTTCGAAGACCTGACGCATGGTGATGTCGCGGAAGAAGTTGGCTAGGTCAGCCGAGGTGTGGGTGGTGAGGCGGCTGTACTTGGCCATAACTTTGCCGTCCGTTTCAGGACGGTAGTTGGAGCCGAGTCGGCCGTACCAGTAGAGGCACGAGTCCAAGAGGCGTTCCAGGCTCTTCACCAACGACGTAGTAGTGTTTGCGGTGGCAGCAGACGCTGTGAGGCACAAAAAACGCGTAATTAGAGTGCTTTCGGGAACACGCGGACCTAGTTTGAGCGTGGGCTTCCTGAAATAACACCGAAATCGGTATCACGACGCCCCTCAAAACCAGGGCGGCGATTTTTCCAGAGTAATGCCATTTTAAGAGAAATTTTAAACAGCTAAAAGCGCCGCCACCAGTAGGGTGGGACTAGTCACCTGTCGACGCCCCGGTCCAATTAGCGCTGGCACGTTTTTTCTTCTCTCTTAGGGGGTCGCAGACACACACACACACACAAACGAAAGTGTTAGAGACACTGAGAGAAATTCCGAAGTCGGTTTTTCTTTCCTTCTTACCGACATTCGACCCACCCACCTCCCCTGCCCTCCCGTAGTAAACCCGGTCAGCATGACTCAGGCAGGCGGCGCTGCAATTTTCCAGTTATGCTGGCGGGAGAAGGGATAGGAGTGGTAGTGTGTCGCTGCCTCGTGGGAGTTTCACATGGCTAGGATTTCATCCATCTAATTAAAATAGCTTGATGACTGATTAGTACATCGACATTTCTTGTGTTCCAAATTTGACATGTTGAAATCACGTTGGTGTCACCAACTGTTCCCCGTTGGGACCCACAGTTCCAGAGAGGATCGTATGGGTGAACCAGCTACACATGTCACCGCCTCACCCCTAACATGAAACTACGGAATCCAAGCCTCGGCGTTGAAATGTCGCCTTCGCCTCCAGGAACCACGGTGAATTGCCATATGGGTTGTGATGGCCGGGTGGCTTACACCACAGGTAAAAAATCTTGAGTCAGCGAAGGAGTTGTCGCCAAATGTTGCTGTCCGTCACCATCTTCTATCAGATAAGAACACGGACTACCGCAATGCCCACCAACGGACGCGCAAACAGACAGGACTTCTCAGTGCAGTCAATCGAACACGCGAAGTCCGCTACTGGCGCTGCCTTCCTTCGACCTTCGAGTTGGTCCGAGGAAGGAAACTCCACGTTCCTCTCAACGGCGCACTTACGATCGTGTGTGTTCAAACACTGCGATGAACGATCCGGCAGTAGAGGTTTTTTGCAGAGACAGTGTTGGATGGATATTATTGACGAATTCACTTCCGTGAAGGCAAGAAATCCACTGAGGAGTACAGCCAGATACGCGAAACTTGTGGTTTTTATTGTCCGACTAAACAACGCACATGTCACTAGTGGAATCGAAATCATTCCTTTGTTCAACACGAACCACCAATGGTGGTTAGTAACACTTAGTTGATAGTGGCGTCAACAGAAACGATCATGAGCCATGAGTGATAAGCCACAGTTGTGTGCTGCGTATTGAACTGCTTCGCACGACGCAAACCCAATCATTTCAGATATCGGATAATTTGCTAAGCGCACGCATTCCGCCAGGGCAGTGCGAAAGCTCACAAAAACATCCACCGTAACGAGATTTCAGAACACCGAATGACAAGCCAGCGAGTTGGATAACCTCTCAGAATACCAGAGTTTACGATGGTAACTAATAAACAGCGCATTCGGCTGCACTGCATTTCGTGCGAATTCTGACAAGGAAAAAGTGACGCGGAAGCACTGGAATTAATTTGTGGTGGTCTTGGTGCCAACGTTGTATCACAAGAAACGCGTAGTTATTGGCACAAACGTTTTAGAAGTGGAGATTTCGATCTCAGCGGCCAGCTGCAAACCGGCCTCCAACCTCAAAAGTGAGGAGATGCGGAATTGAAAGTTCTACTGGATGGAGACTCAACGCAGACGCAGCAAGAGCTTGTAGCTTGGTTAGGAGTCACCAAAACAGCTATTTCCAAGCGTTTGCATCACTGAATAGGACAAATCCAAAAATTTGGTCCAAGTACGAACACATGCCATTCACTGCTGGCCCACAGACGACAAAAGAAACGACTTCTTGTGGAAAATTGTGATGAGTGATTACAAGTGTATTTTTTACGAGAATCCCAAACGTAAGGTGTCGTGGATAGATCCCTGGCAACCCAGTGCATAGACGTCGAAACATAACATCCACTCGAAGACGGCTCTCCTTGCATCTTGTGGGGCATGGAGGGTGTACTTCATTACGAGATCCTGGAAACTGATCGTCACAAAAGACCATTTATTGGGCAAGGAAGCAGGTAAGCCATTCTGCTGCTGCTGCTGCTGCTAGACAACCCTCGATCACCTCACGTTGTTCGCGCGGCTTAGAAGACTCTCTTGAAGTTGGGATGGGAATTTCTTCCACACGCGGCATATCCGCCAGACTTGGCTTCGCTTTCCACTACCACGTGTTCCGATCAGTGCAACAGCACGCCTCAGTGAATAAACAATTCAGAACGTTGGAGGTGATGTGCATAAATTCGGCGTGGAGGATGATTTGGTTGCCTCGAAGTCAGGCAAGGTTCCTTTGAGACGGCATTCGTACGTTACCTGAGAGGTGGCGCAAGGTCGCAGGAAACGATGGACAATATTTACAAGATTAACTTCGCTGTCCTCTTTACTAATTTGCTGAAAAACCTGGAAAAAAGTTAAGTCATGCACCTATTATACTCCATTTGACTATCGAATCTGGGCCTCCAAAGTGTCCATATTCAACCTCCGGACAATGGATTTCATTACGCGCTTTACCGTAACTGGTTTCGAGGTGAGGAGAGCGTGGGCCATCGAAAATGCGCACTAATTTTCGCCATCCGGTGGCCAGAAATGCACATTTCCGCGCCGACACGGTTCGGCCGAGGGGACGATAACAACGCCCAGTATCGGACAGAAGTGGTGGTGGCGACGATGTGTGCCTGCCTGACTCAGCTCCTCATATCTCTCCCAGCCCGGGGGTAGCACAAAAAAGGGGTGATAACTCGCTACGGGGTGCCAGCACGCGTTCACGCGTCGAAAGGTCAAGCGTGTACGGGTCTGTCACCACGGCGCGCAATGCAACTTTTTGGACATTAGCACCGAGGCGGTGGTTTTTTGCTCTCGGACGCGTGTGTGCTGCGTGCGATGACTAAGAGACCGAGACAGAGAGAGAGAGAAGTTGGGTGAAAAAGAGGCAACACGTGAATAAGGAAACGATAGATCCCTTCAAACAACCAAACGCACGACGCTGAGAGGCGTCTCGTGGCGCCAGGCGTCAGTGAGGGTGTGAAAATTAACTCGACCTGGGTGTGCCCGTCATGTGCTTTGTGTCTGCCCGCGCCCTAGAAACAGCGCCGGACGGCCATGTCAAGATGCTGCCCCCCCTCTTCCGGCGTGCCCGATGACTCAGACAATACGTGCCACCACCACCACCACCACCACTACCTCAATGCGTGCCCACTTTACGCATATCGCGTCATCTAATTGCCGTACTGCGCGTCCTTTGGCGTTACCCAAGGGCTTTTCGCGCAGGGATCGCGCCAAGGCCGGCCCAAGCCAGTGTCTACGGCACGCAAGCAAGGTGAGAAAAGCAAAATGGCGCATTTCCGAGTGACAAAAACACCATCCTCTTTACCGTTTCGTCGTCGTCTTCGCCTTGTTTTTCTTCTTTCTCCCCGCCTTCTTCATCAGTCTGAGTGACTGGAGAGAAAAAGGCAGGAGGCGGTGAGTCACAGAACGCCGGAGGAGATATCGACGCTCAAAAACACACTCCGCCTGCGTGGAGCCATTAATAAATGACTCCCGCGACAGGGGGCGATGACCGTGGGAGCAAGATAGACAGCGTGACTGCCACACTAACAGTAGTAATGACTGACGGAATTAAAGTCTTCTCCGCCAAGCGACTCCCGTAGTGTTTTGTCGAGGTGGTGTCGATTTGACCGACTTGTTCGCTAGAAATTCGCCGGTCTGTGCTACTGTTTCAGATAGACAATCGTGCTTCGATGATGGCAGAGACGAAGCGTCAACGATTGATAACTAAAAATGTCTATTCCTTGTTAAAGACAACAAGAGTGCAAAATGTGCCACCGACTGCAATCAGCAACTCTGTAAAGAGGATGTCAATTTCCCGCTGAAAGAACGAGGACTAGTCGATAATTCTGGTTTTCATCATGCATGACCTCAAAATCAGTAGATTTTGTTAAATTTACACGATGCACCTGAACAAAGTGGACTGTGCTACAACACGTTTAGCATTGAAAAAGAAAACCGTCACTGGGAGGAGCGTGCGAAAATACGGGGTTTGTGGTGCAGTTCGACGCCGCAAAAATCTACAGATTTTGGATGGTAGGTGACGCGCATTTGGCCGTGAGCACGGTGTCCGCGTCTGCTGGGCCTAGCACGTCGTTTTAAGACAGCACACTGACAAGAATGGGAACACGCTCAGTTCCCTCAAAGCAGCTCCACAATCCTGTACACCCCCGTAAGTGCTGACCACGCACGACGTTCGCTTGACTGCGGCAGGTTACTAGAAATTAACCAATCAAACACCGCAGAGTGCTAGTGGAACACTGCAACAGTTGCCTTGTGCAAGATTCCGAGTTTAAGGTGACTAGGCAGTTAGACTTGAGGCCTTAGCAACGAGTTCCAGCCCATGCTGTGCGGTTGCGTTGAAGCCCCGATGTGGTTCGCAAACGGAGACATGACACTACCGGGAAAGGTATAATTGACTGGTGCGAGCAGTTACGATAGACTGAAAAGTCAGCCATAACCGTGACGGTGTTCTTCGTCTGGCGATGGTCGTGATAAGTGAAGGGCTTGAGATCAATTGTCCAAAGTCGGGTCGTCGTTGTGTTTCGAAGAATCAGGACGATGTGTAGTCACAAATTCTAGTACCGGGCTTGGGACAATGTGGTGGTTGTCAACGGGTGCATCGTTTAAAGAACTACGAAGGTTTGCCTTGCACACGGAGAGACGCAGTCGCAAGAGCTCTGATGGATCCCAAAGGCTGAGAAACGTAGTTAAGTCTAGCGGAAATTGTTGTGTGCTGTAACTCATTTCACGCCCGGGAAAGAGATGAAAGAGGTCGATTTAAGTGCCGTGAAAGGCATTCGCGAAAACACCTTACCACCTCGAACAAAGACCTGCCAATCAGAAGCAACCAACGCTGGTCTTGAGTCGTCCACAGACGAAAGATTGTTTGGTGTTCAATAACGATTATCTGCACGTAGCCTACTTCAACACCAAAGCCACACTTCCTTGACCCTGATCTTGGCCAAGTGAAGCGACGTAGATATAGAAAATTGTGGGACCTAGGATGTGATCTTGAACCACGCCGGGGTCACGGAATTAACCCTAACCCTATTACACTTCCCTGATACCCACGATAAAGAAAAAGATCGGAGAGGACGTGGACATAACCGTTTACTCCAGAGCTCAACCAAAACTGGTGTCGTTGTGTCATGTTTGGAGTTTCCGCGTATGTATTTATACCTCGGATGTGTGAGTCATACATTCGCTAACATCGAGACCCATGTGTGCGGCTAATTCAAGATAAATATCCGTGTGAATGAGCGGGGAGTTGAGGATCCGCACGGCAGGCGACATGCTACGAAAAGGGGAACCCTGTGTCGGAGGTGGAGCGACCGGTTCAAGGGGTGTGAATAAACACGATTCACAACACAGGTTACAAAACCAATCACGGAGAACACTGACTCAATCTTGACCGGCTGAGTTTGTGTTTAACGTCGCACTTCAGGCGCACACATTGTATTGGTACATACTACTAAAACACGCGGCCACACAATGTGAGAACGGATCCTGTTGTTGACTGAACCGTTCACTCGCCATCTGGTCGTCATGGATTCATCGATTGTCAACGAACAAACGATGGCCTGGAGTGCGCGGGTTCGTTTGGAGCAGAAAGGAGAAAGAGCGTGAGTATTTCGGCGCAGTAAATTACAGGGAAGGACAGCTGCGGCACAAAAAAAGCACGTGCGCATTTCACCGTGGGAAAAATTTACTTCACCGTGGATGTCGGCAAAGGAAAAACCCACTTCACCGCCGCCGCCGCCGCCACGGCAGAACGCAGCGTGGACTACTACTGCCAGAGAAGAAGAAGAAGAAGACTACAAAATGAGAGGCAGCGCGACCGAGAATTACGAGAAAATCGTTGATAAGTGGGCGAGGTCTTGTCATGCAAGATTGCGCTACAGAAAATTGACTTTACCCAACTGCCACACACTATAGACGAAGTGAAAAATTAATTGGCTAGAGGTGAGGGAGGATGAACAAACCTGTCATCACGTCAATCCACCGCAGGACACAACAACCGGAGTGTGAAGGAGGCGCTCCTAGCAGCGGAGTGTGGAGTTTTCTTCAGACAGTGAAACCACGAGCGCCTTGTTGAATGCACGCGTGGTAATTTGTCATCTCGTTCATGCGTTCGAAGGCCTTGCGTCAAGTCGTTAGCGACGTCGTTCAATGATTGGACACCACACATTACACCTCAGTGGGTCTGACTTGCGACAGATTCGACAGAGAATTACTTTCTGACTACAAGAAGAGTGCCCGAGAGGGTGGGGAATGGGCGAAAGTAGAAATCTCGTGCCGTTCGCAACGCCAAAAACAAAATCTTGAGTAAAAAAAGGAGGGGAGGAGGGAAGGAGAGGCATCTGTCATCGGGAAGGCGGAAAAAATGGACGGCAATTTTCAAATGGGCGGAGAGGAGACAGCGGTGGAGGGAGACGGAAGTGGCAAACAAACAAAGTTAAACACCACTACCACCACCATCGGAGAGGAAAATTGGCACGTGCAGCGCGTCTCAAGTGCAATCCGACATTCGGTTAATTACCAACGGCTTGCCTTAGCCACCTTGTGGACACGACAGGGCTTGGTAACTAGTGCAGAAATAGACGTGTCGAATCGACTAATTAAACGCTGAATGAAAGGCATTTCGGGGGCACAAAAAAGGTACGAGAGTAGTCCCATCGTGGCCAAACCATAGTCCAATCAATGATACAACTGGCAAACTTTCCACATGGCTGATAGCCAAGTTCAGGCTCGCAATTAGTTGGTTGGGTAGGTCGTATTTGTGCAAAAAACACATGGTGAAGGCCTACTGAATAAAAAAGAGTTGAAATCATCGATGTAAACAGGATAGAAAGGTCGTGAACCGTGATGAACCATGTTCCATCAATCCGCAGATCAGATCAATCACCGCCTGGAGATATCGAAGTGAGTTTGGGACCCACGTTGTAGACATGACGAGGTCTTTGAAGAACGATTTGGTCCACTGACACACGTGAATACCACAACACAGAACTGTGGCAGACGGTGAACAGGATATAAAGGTCGTGAACCGTGATAAGCCATGTCCGCCATGCATGTTGATGCATGTCCAGACGCGTCGGCGGTCCATCAATCCGCAGATCCGTTTAACCACCACCTACACCCAAAGTTGACTAGGAAATAACATAAGAGAGTAGAACCATCTAGGGGTCTGTTTCACCTTCCAGAGATACCGAAGTGAGTTTGAGACCCACGTTGTCGAATTGACGGGGGCTTGGAAGATAGATTCGTGAACACAGAACTGGCCATGAAACGGCTTACCTCCACAACGACATGGGAGAATTGTAACAGCGGACTCAGTGCAAACGCGAAACAAACTCGCACGTGGCAAGAAAAAGCCCATGTAGTAAGATGATCTACAACAACCTCGATCGTTTTCGCCTTGCTGCCTTTTTTATGCAAATACGTGTGGATCAGGTTACCTTCTGGCTGGTAATGCCGAATCATTGGATAATGTCGATTTGAATGTGTCCAATTCAAGACTTATGCAATCAACACGACTAACCAGCAAGTCGGGCGTGGGAGGAGGGTTTGGCGGCGGCGGCGGCGGTGGCGGGGTCTGTAGGGGGTCCAGAACAGGCGAGAATGGCACTGGCAGCCGACGGCGAGTCAGCGGAGAAGTTGACGAGGCAGAAGAGGAGGCCGTGCATCAGGCGAGTGTCGATCAGTGCCAAGTGCCAGATGGTCTGTGCAAGCTAAAAGGCCAGCAAGTGGAAGACCTCTAGGGAATGTGGTACTGTCTGTTTCCGATCGATTTTCACTGCGCGATTCAGGTTTGACGAGGACGAAGTGTCAAGTAACACGACGCCACTTCAATTACTGCTAGACATCGGTGAAGGGAAATAATGACTGACATCTACACAATTCCAGTTGGTGTAATTCAGTAGACTGCCGCCCCCACAAACCTTCGTCTGTTGTCTAGACGGGCCCAAACCAAGACAACGCCTGGAACCACCACAAATCAAGCCTTTTTGTGGCTCAAGACAAAGACACGATGACGTACCTTCGGCAATCCCGCCTCGATGGCGGCTTGCTTGATTTCCGCACTGCCATAAATCATGTTGCCAAGCAACTCCAGGTAGCCCAGGAGGTCATCGGTGAGGTACTGCCAGGCCAGGTGACGACCCTCTACAACACGCTTCTCGGAGGCAGTCGACGCCGACGCCTCCGACGGCACCTTTGCGGATTCCAAGCTGCCAGTGTTCCGGAGTTTTATCGGGTGGCGGAGAATGAGGGTTAGTTTTTCCACCACACTCCGGCACTTGCCAAACAGGTTAGTCATAAAATCAGCTACAGGGAAAGGAAATTTTTAACCAAAGACAGCATACCTACTAGTGACGGTAGGAAGTAGCAAGCCAACGGTTTTTATAGTGATGGGTTGATGGGAAGGCACAACCGCAAACAAGGCAAGATTTCATACTTGGCCAGCGACGTAAAATCGGCCGCTTAATTAGGTGTGCAGTGCCAAGTTTTTTTGGGGGGGGGGTAATTTAAGTTGTCACATAAAAAAATCTACCGAGGGCCCCCCTTAAAGGTGACAGATGACATAAATTTTCGATTGCACGAAAGTCCGCCAATCACGTTGCATTCCGGTCATTCTACTGCACAACACCAGCTCCTCCTACGAGAGAAGTTAGTTGAATTCCAGCGCAGGAATTCGAAATGGTGGCATTTGCAGCGCAACATCAAAGTCACCAGTGGCGTGAAGCCGTTTTGCCTGTGCTAAATGCAGCTAATTCACGATTGTCAGCAATTGGTCGGATCTAGGCAGGAATCGCTGAAACGCAAAATCTATCGCTAGAATCTGGTCTGACATTCGATCAGGCTTCAGCCAAACCAAGTGTAGTTCCACCACGTCGTCGTAGACGGTGACGGAGGTATCGATTTTTGGGGTGAAATCGTGACTGGAGGGGTGATTTGCAGTTTCACAAAAAAGATGCCGACAAGAATGACGGAGAAGTTGGACACAAAAAGGAGGTGCCACACCCAATGCGCGATGAGCGCATGGGCCGGCGGCGTGTCAGTCACCAAGCAAACCGTAGCGGCGCGTACCCTCGAGAGCAGCCAGTTTTGCGTGAGGCGATGTGCAGAGCAGTATCTTCAGAGCCGAATGCACAGCTTGTCGGTGTGCTTCGCGGTGGCCGAAGGTGAGGCCATGCTGCAGAATACCACCGACGACGCCTGTGTCGTCCAACAAACTACCGTCCAGATCGATGCGCACCTGGGGCAGCGCCGTGTGGATGGGAATGAGGGCGACGGCAAGCAGACCCGAGAGTGGAACGTCGCGTCCGTCGACGTCCTGCACCGTGGTGCCGTCCAACGCCGCGGGAATAGGGTTGTCGAAGCGTGCCGTGGGGGTGGACTGCTCTTCCAGGGACGACGAATGCCACGACTTGATGGAAGTGGGCCCCGAGTCGCTTTCCTGCTTGATGACTTCCAGAGTCCGGGAGGCGCGGCGAGACAGAACCACCGCGAGGAATGCGAGTGCGGTGTGGATCAAGTCAAACACGGCCGATCTAGATAAAAAAAACAGCAACAAGGTAACGCAAACCGCTTCAAAAGTGCGAAAACAATCTGATTCAGGGAATAGTCACTTCCTCACCAAGAGCCGGAAGTGGTTAAAAAACGACAGCGCGTGTCGTGCAGAACGGAAAAAAACAACTGGACGGTACAAAACGATAAATGATGCAGAAGAGCAATAACATGCGTGCAGATTAGCAATGCTGTTTGGACTAAGGTCTGTGCCGAGCTCGGTTTTAGGTCTGGTGCATTGAGCACTTCTGATTGGCCCACGCGCTGATTGGCGCCACATCCAAAGTCACCAATGAATTTCGGGCCAACCTGTACCCAAGGCGTAATTGGTTGTTTGTCCGCAACTTCGACAACTTCTCATAGAAGGCGTACACACTCAGCACAACCAATTTGCTCAAATTTATTACCCGGAAAACACGGAGCAGGCGCATTAATGTTAATCAGCTGCGCTAATAGGCAGATCGCCTCATCACTCACTCCAGTGAGCGCCTCATTAATTTCTCTGAACATACCAAAGCAGGAGAAAAAAGGGGTAGGTTGATTGAGGCAGTACCATCGGCGTAAATTAATACAAATGGTACGCGCAAAGCGCAGGCAAGTGGTCTTTCTGGCGGGGAGGAAGTAGCATTCGGAGAGGCGGAAATATGTTGTGCGCGTAATTAGCAAAAGGATACACAGAGAATTGGACTCTGCGGTGTGGAGACCAATGAGAAATTCACTACGATAGGGGTAATTGTGACTTTTAACGCACTGAAAGACAGAGATCACACACACACACACACGAACAGGATCTGTGTGGGGGACTTCCACAATCGCTGTTTCCAATTCAGTAACTTCCCTCAACACGGCTGCTCCAATAAATCGGTTGGGGTTATTTAAACTACTGAAACGCCAATCAGTAGTCGGCGGGTTCTGATTTCTCGGATGGGCACGTTTAGCCTGATCTAGCCAATCAGAACTAGCCTAGGTGGCGACCAACTGTTGGTCAGATTCTCATGCAAGGTCACGCAGAGATTTCCCAGGAGAGATTTTGGCTTCTGCGAAAATTAGTGGAAGAATTTAGGGGTGACATACACTACTAATGACTATAAGCAGACTTCGAAATCACTGGGCTAAAGAACGATGCATCTACACGCAAATCTCTCACAAAATTGATATTTTCAAGATTGAGTACAGGTAAAAATACTACCAAACGGGATACAGATTCACAAGGACGAGAAAAGGTGGCGGTGGGGCTCGAACACGGGTCAACAAGTTTAGCCAAACTTCTGGATACTCGTGGAAGGGATTGGTTTCGCAGTGTGATGTCAAACATGACATTTTAATCCAGAGAGGTCGAGTCTGGCTCTTGCTCTTCCACCGACGCATCTCCTCCTTGGGTACTTTATCATCGATTATCAGAGAAACCAAGACCTTTTCGCATCTTGGCCATCGATGGCGTGTGTTTGTTTGTTTGTTCGCATTTCAGAAAAAAAGCACACCTCGAGGTGTCGCCGGAGGCGTCAGTGGGGCGTCGGCTGGCGTTGATGGCGTCTACGGCGCGTCGAATCACCCGCGCCACCACCAGACCACCCCACTGGCGCACGCGGGCGGCGAGGGGGTGGAGGGCGTTGCGCAGTAGGAGGTCCTCCGGATCCTCTGTCTCCGGTTCGAGGAGGGCGACGAAAAAGAGCATCGTCTCCTGCCACAGTGCCTCCATATTCACAGCACCTGGAAGGCAAGGTGGGCGGGGTGAGATAGCCAAACTGCACAAGCCTTGAATATTGAACACACTAAGTTAAAATTCCCGCGAATCTGGACCAGCCAATAGCGTGCCGAGTACGGTCTTGTGCATCTGTCTCATGTTAAGTACTTTGTTCCGATTTAATCCATATTCATGATTTCGGAGTATATCGATAATTCACAGAAAGCAAAGCAAACCACGGCTAACAGCACAATGCTCGAATATCGAACACACAAAATCAAATTTCCCACAAACTTGGACTAGCCAATAGCATGGCGAGTCCGGTCTTGTGGCCAGGCAACGTGTTCCTATCCTTCGGTCATAACGTTGTTCCGATTTAATCCACATTCATGATCTCGCAATATATCGGTAATTCACAGAATGCAAAGCAAACCACAGCTAACAGCACGACCCTCGAATATCGAACACACGAAATCAAATTTCCCGCGAACTCGGACCAGCCAATAGCATGCCGAGATCGGTCTCACATCCTGGCGATGTGTTTTTGTCTCATGTTGATTACTTCGTCCCGAGTTAATACACATTCTTAATCCAGCGAAGTATCGACAACCCACAGAATGCAGAGCGAACCACAGACGACAATTTGCTGGACTCACTCTGCGGTGGGATCGTCAAGCAATTCACCAGGAGAGTCAGGAAACGGCAGTCCGAGAGAAAGAAGAGTCTCTCTTGAGCACTGGCGGCGAGGAGCGAGCGGAAGAAGCGCAGAATCTCAGAAAATGCGGAGGCCAGCGCCCTGCCCGCGACGCCGTCGTTCAAAGTTTCCAACAAACCTGAAAGGAAGAACACACAAAAAGGAGATGGTGATGATGGCGGATCCTTCCTCCCCCGAGTAAGGGAACAGCGACCCTACTTGGATCGATCATGTTCATGAGGAGGGTGAGCAGTTGGTGGTGGCGGCACCGAGCGAGGCACAGAGAAGGCAGGATCTGCGAGAGGTTCACGAGGAGGCTGCAGACGCGGTTCACGAGAAGCGGCGTCGACGGACTCCCACGCACCTGCAAGGGCTGGAACAACGACAAACAAGCACCCAGTTAATCAGGTAGAATGGGCGAGTGGCTGTGTCTGCTTGACCTCCTGACAACACACCAAGCGTCCAATGTCGTCAGTGTGATGCAAGCGCGTCTGAGTTGGTTTGTTGGAAAGCAGACGCGCTGCGTTGCGCGAGATTCACTTGCGAGTCCTATCAACCCCCCATCCCCCAATCAATGGGAGAAATTACGAGGGGAAAACGCCACGGAGGAGGAAATTTTGAGCTCATGGAAAAAGTGGGTTGATCGGCAAGCGTAGTGGTGGTGGTGGTGGTAGTGGTTAGTTTAAAAAAAGGTGGAGGAAAAAGGACACTGTAGCAAGGGAGGGAAAAAGCGTGGGAGAAACTAAAAATGGACGGCGGAAAATTTGCCCAGTTGTAGGCTTGATCACGAGGCGATTCGCGGATCAGCACAACCACCTAAACCTCACCGATTTCACAAACCTCTTTATTAAAAAGGCGATCGATTGGTCCACACAGGAGACCTGCCTTCCAGCCTATGTCAACAGGTCAATTCCAGACGGCAAAAGTTAACCAGACAGCAGTGTTTCGTTGTAAAATTCGTTTTGGGAAAAACGAAGTAGCAATGACACCGGTTCACCTCGATGCTGACCGTTTGATAGCATTAATTAAAGAAAATTGTCCGAAAACCAGGCTGCGAGAATTAGTCGTAATGAATGATTGGAAAAAACGAGCCCCAAATCGGTATCAGTTCAGTCACAAGGGTACTTGATGTCGTCCTTCGAACGCGATTCGCCACCTTGGCTAATCCACCCAGCCTTGATTTCGATGACTATTGATTACCAATCATTGTGAAATCGAGAATGCATCGAAAACGCAATGCTACACAACCTGAGAGAGGCAAAAAACTGAACGACTTTGCCCTGAGACATGCCAATACGAGATTGGATTTGGTGGGAGGTGGGTAATTCAAGTGAACCAATCATCGCGAAACAGAGGTAGCCAATCGCCGACGGAGGTGCGTTATCACGGCTTTTCTTGCCCAGGAACGAACTTAATTCTGCCACAGTCAATTCACAATGAGATCAGCTTCATTTTAAAATACAAAGTTTAACCTGAACTGCTTCAGACGTCTGCACAAAAATTACCATATATAATAATGACTACTTATATGATTTAGGTAGAATAATAATTACGCACAGAGAAAACGAAGTAGACGGAGAATTTGCTCACCTCGATGGAACGCTCCTCAGACGACATGGTCGATGTGCAACACCGAGACGATAGGCCCCGCCAAAGATCGCTTTTCAGAGTCGGGAGAGCGTGGTAGTTCTCCAGAAGCAGATGCAGTGAAGGAAAGAAATCGAAAACCTCCAACATGCAATGGATTGCGCCAACTCCCACAATATGTATCTTTGAGGAATAAAATCAAGGCCGTGTTACCACAACAACGGAAATTCACACCCAATTTATCCAAACCGGTCGCACGTGGAATTACCAAAAAATATAACACCTACTTAATTTGATTTAAGTAGCAAGATCGACTAACTTGTGTGTACGGTTCGACAAAGACCGGGACCAGCGGGTTGAACTCGCAAACGGCCACGGTGACATTCAATTCGTCCACCACTGCCTCCGGCACATCAATCGCGTCTCCGTTCTGAATGTTGGCAATAATACGGAGAACCCGATGCGCCGCAGGTGCGAGAGACTTCAGACCGTCCAACCTCGCCAGACTGAGGCTGAAGGTCCAAGAATTGAAGGAATCGTTGATGTCAAAGAAGCCCGGGCTGGCTGTGTCGTCCAGCGGTGGAGAGGGAAGAAGCAGTGGGGCCAGAGCCGAATTACGGACGGCTTGCAACGGGAGAAGCACCTAGGGCCGATTTTGAAAACAGTTCGACTGAGTTTATGCCAGAAATCGGTCATGGAAACCACTGAGCGTTGGAAGAAGTGGAAAATAAAGCAGCAAGTGTGCTTTTAGCGGTTGTCGAGTGGTTCTGAGGTTAAGACGTGGAAACCTAACGACGTCTCAAGTCGTAAACAATCACATTTCCACAAATCTAAACGATTCTACCATTAAACATGCCTTCATTGAGACAGCCTCGTCCATTGGAACAAGGGCTGTTAGGTTTGCAAGCAGATGAGCGGCAGCAGATCGAATTTTCGGTGATTCATACGGATCCAACAAGAGACGAAAACCCAGAGCCCAGATGCCTCCGAATCCCATTCGATTCACCTCTGACGAATACTCCGCCTCGAGTTGAATCAATTTTGAGTGGACGTCGGTGACAAGCAACACCTGTGCCAGAACTGTGAGCGCCAGACATCGGACCTTACAACAAGAGAAAATGCTACTAAAAACAAATCAGTAGGCGAGGTATTGAGGCATAAACTTCAGACCTCAGGAGAAGCGTGGTCAATCAAACGGAATAGCCAAGGCGACGATAGCCAATCGCTTCCGAACGCGGCGTCTGGCAAAATCGCGTTTCGCCATTTAGGTGAGTCAAGAAGAAGCAGATAATTGTGCAGGAGAGCTAGACACGAGCACAATGTCCCCGTGTGCGCATGCGTCTCCACAGACTGGCTCACAAACACTGAGATAAGGCGCATTGTTAGAGTGAAGAGACTTTGAAGCGTAGCGTCAATTTCCTGGACGCTGGCCTTCCAGGAATTCCTGTCAAAATAAGAACGACCCAGTAGCATTTTGGAAGAATGCGAGAGCGAAGTAACGGGATTTGGATGCCTACCTCGCTGTGATGCGTTCGAGGATTTGAACAGCTGTGTGAAGCGGAGCGATCCGTTCAAGTGGTAAATTAACATGATGCTCGACGAATTTGAGGGACCAGTGGAAAAGGAATTGAAGAGCATCCAAGTTGTCCGCTTGCCTAAAACCACACGAATAAAGTTTGGCTACTTAAATTAAATTAGTAGAACCATTAATAAATCAGCTATGTCTTTTGCTTCAATTCTTTCAAATAGATCCGTTGTGGACAGACAGACGCCTCGCGTGTCTGATGCGTGTATGCTGGCGCGACTGTACCAATGATTCACCGCTTTTTTTAATGGCCCCAGTTAGCGGTCGTCTGCTACGCACGCTTACTCATACGCAACACAAATAAACGGCCATGTACCCTGTCACCTATTTTCACCCAATTCTCGGGTTATAACGGGCAGTTAACAAGAGGGTTAAAGGTAGATCCAAAGTGAAACCCCCACAGATTCATCAATCCGGTTGTATTCATGTCGCTCTGATCAATCAAATCCAGATGCAATGTCTTTCCGATTGAAACGTAACAGGTATTCACTGCCACAATACTTATTTACTACCTAAATAATTTAAGTAGCAAGAATTATAACATTGTTCAAACAGATCAAATTAACCTTGAGCAATTCCCGCTGCCATTATGTCCCACTGACACGGGTTCGACAGACTCGGCGGCAGCGGGCACCCTCGCGGATCCGCAGACAAGCGTGTCGCCCAGGAATTCTTGACAGGCGAGTAGAGCATTGAAGAGTGACGGCAGGGTGTCGAAGTGGACCCTCAGTTTGACCTCCACAAGACGCTGACTGTCGGTGGCACCGACGCCGGCGTCGAAACGGCGCATCACGTAAGCCAGCGGCGAACTCGGTTCAAGAAGCTGCTCCAGAAGCCACGAGGCGGTCTACACAGGATTACGATCAATTATAATAATTACTACCAATTCGATATAAGTAGGTAAAGTCAATTTAGCCAAAATAACGGCCACTTACGGCATTTGCACTGCCAGACAACATGGAGGAGTAGGGAGGTCGCAATCCGACGGTCAACGCAGTTTCCAAGCATTGAATCAACAGGTGGTAGTCGGCGGTGCACGAGGGCAGGATTCTGAGGAAGCGGTCCACGTCGGCAGCCTCCCACCAGGCTGGCTGATCGATGGAGGCGGCGTCAGTGAAGCCACGGGTCCTCCAGAACGCCGACACCACTAACTGGAGGTGGGCCAGGCCTGTGAACACTTCTGCGTGCGACGTGGCACTCCTGATGCCCTGCAGAGCACTCGAAAAAGCCTCGTGGGGGTTGCTGGAGGCGACGAGAACAGTGTCGACCGGTGACAGCTTCAGCGTTGGATCCCTGCGTTTGAAGAGATCAGGCATAATTTAAACTGGGTAAAATGACATGGCAGATGGAGATTCAGTGTGGTTGTGAGACCGCTGTCGCCGACACACCGCATCACTTCGATCCATTTCCAAGGAGTCAGAAGACCAATCCTGGTGTTTATCGTCATCATCAACCAATGAAGCCGGATTATTAATTAATTAATCGGTAAAAGAAAAACCAATATAATATAAGACTGCCACAAACTCGGACACGTTGTGGAATTGTCAGCTTTCCACCCAAAACCAACTCAGTAATTTCAGGCATCGATTCTTCGTCATTTGTTGTAGGCAATTGAGGTGAAATTGGAGACGCACAAGAGCTAAACTCTCAGGCGAATCAACTGCTTCCACGACACCGTCGCGTTGGTTCGCGGAGCTCTGGACCAAATTGGACCCCTACTTCCCGTCTCCAACTGGCTCGTCGTCTTCCCACGAACCCACTCCACTCCCACCACCGCCCCCGCCAGCAAACACCTCGTCTCGCAACCAATGCTCTTCCAACAACTGGCCAACCAGAACGCGGCTTCATCCAACTTCCTACTTCACTCTCTCTTTCTTGACGATCCACGACTCGCGACGTGCTGCTGGTACGGGCCAAACATTCCC